AGCTCCCCAGGGAATGCCGCGGCAGGCCGGCTGTCAGCTCTGCAATTCAAAGCCTTCGGGGGGACAGGAGACTGCGAGAGCTGGGTGGCAGACACAGAACATGATCTCGACAAGCAAGCGATGCAGAACAGCTTCCTTCTGTGCGGATTCTCCCTGTATTTGGCACCTCCAAATGCCTTGTACTCTAACTCACAAATTTCTTTCCTATTTTTTTCAGTTCTAAGGGAGACTTCAAACAGCACTGAATTTTTTTCTTGCAAACCCAGTAATAAGACTCTCTCCCTATACCAATATTGAGGCCATGTTTTCCCCATTGGAGATTTAGCAAGGCCTAAAATATACATAGCTTCTGCAAGAATAAATGCCTGAGAACGGGATCTAACTCGGCATTGCATGTCGAATAGAGGAAACAAAATCCTATTTTGGTAATTGGATAAGCACTTGTCCCCTTAACATCATTTGGTGGTAAAAATCGAGGGGTTTGAATTACAAAAAGCGAGTGTCTCTGAGCTGTTGCTAGACAGGGGACATGACTTCGAAAAAGCATGACCACTGGGGGTTGGACTAGATGACCTTTAAGGTCCCTTCCAACCCAAACCACTCTATGATTAAAGACAGATTTCACAGTAGTCCTGCTACAATAAAAGTTCTAAAGGTTTGAGGGGGTCAAGTATTTCTTTTAAAATCTCCTTCTCCTCCCTCAGAAAAAGAAGCAATCACAGAAAGACCTACAGAAGTAATTTTTCTAGCAGGTTCCTTCTCCCTCCCCCTTTTAAGTTGGGAGATAAATATGCAGAGCTACCAAGAGAGAAAAACACCTTTATTCAACCCCATGAACCTTGCAAGCTTTACATGGCACTACGACAGACTGGCACAGATCCTTGCTATAAAGCTGCCGATGCTTCATGGAATTAACAACTCTCATACTGTTTTCTGCGGAACAAACTTGGGCCTTGTCTCTCCTGTTCTGAGACAGCTGCAGAGGCACAGGCAAACGCAGTGAGAATTCACAGCTGAGGAGTTCAAAAAAACTGAGATAGAACAGGAAAGCTAGCACAGAAAAGTTTGGAAACATTAGGTTTTTGCCAAGGGCAAGACTATAGTTTAGTTTTTATCATAAGCCTCTGGCTTATATTGGATCTGGGTTTTAACCACCTAGTTTAACTCTGACTTGAATAATTTCTAAAAGTCATTAAGGCACAGATGCTGCCTTCCCTTGGTGAGGCTGCAATAAAGATGCAAAAACGCTGTTTCCCAGTTGCTTGGCCACAGAGGGACTAGACAGGAGGACAAGAACTTTCCTCCTTCCGTACAGATCGGGACAAAGTAGCAGAGATGGAGAGAGCTGTGGTTCTGCCTTACCCTGTGCAGGACCAGACCAGTGCAGGGAGGTAGAAGACCCTCATAGGGATGAAGTGGTGGCACATCGTCACACGCTCATGAAATCCGGGAAGCGGAACCTACTCCTCTGACAACAGCACCAGTCTGCTCCGCTCGTCCCGGAGGCCACCCCAAGGCCACCAACACCCTGCCCCTCACAACTCGGATCTCGCCCATCTCCTCCTCACCTTCACTGCAAGGCTACAAACAGCACCGGCAACGACTCGCACACAACAGGGAGGAAAAAATATTACCACAGAAACTAAATTTAGAACTTTAGGGCACCCTACAATCAATCATGATTTACCCAATTAATCTCGGGAGTGGAAGGGCACAGGAAACATTAAAAATGGCATGCATCATACTCCAGGGAAGGTCTAAGTATTTAGAATACAACTGGTATTCAAAACTGTGCGAGTCCTCTTCATTTCCTGTGACAATTTTTAAAAAGTAGGTATCTAACATCTTAAGGAACAAGTGTCCTTTGGACTAAACCTTAATTCTCAGTAAGAGGAAAGCAGATTAAAACCAGTAGGTATATACACACTAGCTGTATATTCACACACATTATGTAAAAGCAGCTTAAAATGCCCTTCTCTCTTTGCAAGTCTATGAAATGTACGTTGTCTTTATGCAATCTGTTTCCTACAAGGCCCTCACTAGAAGAGGAATTTGCTGCCTTTTCTTTGAAGAAAAGATTTTGCGTGAATTTTTTCTCCTTTTTTTTGGCTTTTTTTTTTTTTTCTTTTTCCTTTTAAATGCACTGTCCTGATAGTTATTCTTTTTCACAGGAGACTGGCCAGGCTGGTGGTCGGTCCATTCTGTGCCTGGAACTGTACAGGAGGTGGTCCATCTGTCCACTGAAAGATAACAAACAGCATGAAAATCCTACAGCCGCAGCCTGGGGAGGAATAGCAGCGAGGCCAGAGCAAGGAGCTCGCCATACAGACCTTGAGATAATTAAAAGATTTCATCACAAGAAGTTGCATATCAGGTTTGACTTTGTTTTACATGCGTGGAGCTCCTGTCCCTTGAAGAGTATTTTTTCTGAAGCCACTCCACATGCCCGTCATTCCAAGCCTAGCTGACTCCCCTGCTGCATCCAGGGTGAACCGCGATCAAGTGAAAGCATTTCCTGCTCTCACAGGTAAACCTCTGACCGTCCAAACACGGGAAACCACGGCTTGCACAAACGAGGGACCCAACTTCAGAAGTGTTTGAGCCCGCTATACACTGTGCCTATAGCACTTCCAGAGCAAGTAAAGCCTCTGGTTCTCACCCATTTCATTACTAAAATATTTTCCTCTCACATTAGTCAAAAATCTTCTAAAATGGGCAGATTTAATATTTGTTTCTTAATCCTCTTCCCCCGCTACGTTTTTAATCCAGCAGAGATTATGCAAAAGCCAGCAACGGCAAGCAAAGACAGGGGAGGCTGGAGCACTGGCTCACATCTCTATGCCTGGCCCACGGATGGAGATGGGCACCTGGCTGTGGGGGTCTCGACACATCTCGGCTGTGTCACAAACACTTTCATTCTCAAGGCTCAGGATCCCTTTGCGAGCAAAGCCAGCAAACAGCATCTTCCTATTGGCCTTTTTTGCCCCCTTTCTTCTCCCCAGAAGGGGATGTTGGGAAAAAGATGTCAAGTTCCTCGCATCTCACATTCCCGTCTGGACATCATTTCAGTCCAGAACAGCAAATTAGCTTACACCCTTGCAGAGCTGCAGCTTAGGAAACCATTCTGTATTTTTAAAACAGTGTTAAAAGTGTTTCTGACAGGAAGGACATCAATATTTGAAGTGCAGAGAAGGCTGCCCCTTAAGGCAATGGTTATGCAAACATCAAATAGTATATTAACTGGAAATTCAGATTTATAGAGAAGACAAAGTTAACCCCCAACTTAGGAATGCCGAAGTATCAGTAGAAACTGCACTTTTAGCAGTGTACAACAAAGCATTCCCTAGAACAAGGCAGACTGGATGACCTAAAGATTAAAATTAGAACCTGAGGACACAGTAAGTTTCTTTCAAAAGTAATAGTTGTCACTAAAATGAAATGGCTACCTGCTACAAAAGCCAATTAAAACACCTACGTTCTGGTATACTAAGAAAACACTTCTAAGAAACAAAGACCATACCCACCAAATAAACTTTATAGAAGTGAATTAATTGAGTCACGCTTCCTTTTCCTGTTATCAGTCCAGTTTAAATACTAGGAAGTAGACCGAATTTTGGCAACTTACTGAGAAGCGTGCTCAGCAGAAGAAAGGAATAGCAAAGGAACGCAAAGCACATTGTTTTGCCTCAAAACCGCTCCTAATGGCAAGACGGAGATTGCTTACCGTGATTAGATTGTGTTCTGGAAGACTGCACGCTTCAATGTGGTCCTGGAGGAGCTGTTGCGAGAAGTTTTGATGCATCTGTGCGGCCTCGTGTGCATCCATGGCGTTTCCACAGGCTTTGTTCAGGTCTGAAAGACAAGGGTATCCTCTGCTCACCAAGGAACGCTGCCGATAATTCTCTTATCTGAACAGACTGTTCCCTATATTTGATGAACCCTTGTATTTGATGACTGAATCACTTAAACAGCCAATATACCAAAGTTCTACCAGTTCTGAACCACAACACCTTTTAAGAAAAGCTGGGGCATGGGGGGAACCTGAAAGCCTTCCCTTTTCCCAATAACACTGGCAGCGCACATTGCAAGATTTGGTGTTATTTCAGTCTCCAACTATTAAAAATAACATTAAAGTAGCTCTAAAAGGAGAAAGCAAACTTCTCACTCCAATAGAAGCCCCTGTGCCTTTTGGGTTTGCATTTTGAGTTTCCAGCACCATCTAGTGGGAACAGAAGACTCCCAGGTTTCTCGCTGCAGCTGCAGGATTCACCACCACAGGTTGCAGAGGTCAGGCAACACTTCTTTGGTGAATCCTTGTTTTGTCAGGGTTACAGAAGCTCGCTGCTTTGCATACACTGAAGCTGATCCTAGTGTCTTGTCTTCTGTGAGGTTTATTCACAGGCATTAGCTCAGATTTAAGAATGGTAACCTACTAAGAATCACCCAATTCCAGCCAAAAATTACAAGCAGCACAGCGTTGGCAGGAGCTGAGACACTGCACCTCCTGCCGATGAACATGTGGTTGCATTTTGTTTATTCCTCATGGAGCACCTCTTCTTCAAGAATAGATAATTAGTTCTATAGAGGAAGCTCTTTGAGCCAAGGGGAGCAAGGAAGGGGGGGGGGGGGGGGGGGGTGGGGGGGGGGGGTGGGGGGGGGAATCACACCAGAACAGAAACTGCCTCTCGCTGTTCCCAGGCTAGTGGGTATGACCGGAGGCAACAGCAGCTGAACATGGTGGCGTGGTGGTTTATCTACAGCAGATTTATCACTGTACTATCGGCATGTTTTGCACATGAACTACCACTTGGAAATGAGTAAGAAAAGTATTTCAATTGCCTGGAAGTGGTTTTGTAGCAAAGGCAACAGCAAAGCAGAAAATAAGCCTGGCCCACAGTGCTCAACGCAGAACACCATGCTTAATAGTAAACATGACAATTTAATTTAAATTGAAGCTGCGGGGTAAGTTCTTGGAAAAAGGAGAGAGTTACTGCATTATTTTCTAGTGAGAGCAAATCAGTTGCAGCATTAGTGTTGATGGTCTGCCAAGAAGCTAGTCAGTATTTGAACAAAGCATCCTGGAGCCTGCGTACGTCAGATTAAACGATATTTATGTATGAAATGATATAATAGTCTCTTATATTTATTAAAGCCCATACACAGAAGCAAAGCCTAAGTGAAACTTAATCAAATGTTTACTACAATTGGAACTGCAGTCAAAGAAAAGCAAAGCAGAAGAATAGATGCTAACACGGGTGCGAAGCGGTCGCCAGTTCAGCTGTTCAGATCATGAACTGCCGCCCGGCCTCAGCAGGAGAAACCGGCTGCTGCCTCGCACCAGTTGCACGGGGATGCTGGAGCTCTACAGGGCCCTCTCACCCCTGGCGTCTTACAGCCCCCCGAAACACCCCAGCGGAGTATCTGACAGCAGTGCCAGAGCTGCAGCCAAAGAGGATGCCCAAGGGGCTGAAGATCAGCAACTGGAAGAACCATCTTGCGCTTCTATTGGTATTTTGTAAACCCAGGTAGTCTCTCGGCGAGCGCTAGCATTGGCATACATACTCAATCCATACTCATCCCCATACTCAATCCCCAGGTAGTAGCAATGGGCTTTTTGCAGCTTTTTTTTTTTGTAAGTACAAGACCTTTTCCTAACTTACCTCTCAACAGAGCTGAAGACCACAGCTGCACAGACATATCTGGTATCTTGCTTGCAAGCTGCATGGCTGGTACTACCATATTATTACTTTCCTGGTGAAGAGCAGATATCAACACAAAATGGATTTTCTTCCCCCCTCCTTGCCAATACACATTACATAAAGGAGATGCTAAATTTGTGACGAAAAATTTGTCTACTTTAATTGCTGCCATGTTCTAGCTAACAAGTGGAAGTGCTTAATGGGACAATAACCCAAACACATCATCTAAAGCTGTCTGGAATTTTGCTGTCCTAGGAATTATGGTGTCTATGTTGTGCAAGATAATAGAAATATTTCATGCAGTCTGGCATATGGTGAGAATTAAGGAGCTTGTACCCATAATTCCTTCCAAACAATCCAGTTGAATGATGTTATTTGTCTTTTATTCAGCTCCTTTTTTCAAGCGATTTCAGGCATTAGGAACACACACTTCTAGAACAGACTTCAAACACTACTACTTTGTTAAGTGTGACTGAACATGCAAATTACAGCTACAGAATTATGTAAGTCAATAAGCTGCCAACTTTTAGTGGGATACCAATAAACAAGCATTCTTATAGTAAGATTAATTTCACAAAACGCCCTGATTTTCTTTGGCAAATGACAAGTCAAACATTTATATGGTAATACCAGAGACAGTGAAGGCTTACCCTGTGATTCCCTAACACATAGAATATATGACCCAGGAGTACGAGAGAACACGCTGTTAATCGATTCAAGTCTTCTGCATTTGACATTTTCAGTGTCTCTCGCAAAAATCGTCTACCAAAACAAAAGCAAAAATAAAACGTTTTAAAAACTCTACTTTCCCTCCAGTACGTAAGAAGCATCATGAAGAACTAAATTAATCCAACTGGCAAATATTAGCACTTAGGAATAAATGTGTGCTGCAGGTGACCTTAAACAAAGCACTTAATTCTCAAACCTCACCTTTCATTTCACAAAGATGACTGTAATAGAGGTGAAAAGGCTCTGGAAAGCCTTTGTTTCAGATGTGCCGCTGCAGAACGCTGCACCAGTATTACTATTAGCATTCAGAACTAAAGAGATCTAAACCCAACAGCTTCCTGGTATTTCCCCTTAAGTAAAACAGAAGGCTGACTAAATCCACAGGGAGAAGAGCTAGCAGGTTTGAAAGCAAGGCCTCGGGGTTTTCATTTTTATCTTAAAAAGCTTAATTTAGTTTCTCCTTTTTCCCCCCCAACCTTCCAAGTGCACAAATTTATACTCACTTTGCCTCATTGTATCTTCCTTGAAAGAAGGAGAACAGACCTCGGATGTAGAAAGCCGCAGCTCGAAGACAGTGAGAGCTACAGACAAAGCAACGCACTGAAATCTAGGCATTGTGCAGTGATTACATGCATTACAGACAGATTTCTAGGAATTTGCCTAATAACCAAATCTCCAAACAAAACATTATATTTAATGCGTGGTCAGAACTTCTGCCTTGAAAAGAAGTTGATTATTTTGTTTTCTTTTACAAAAAAAAAAGCCTACTACAAATCCAGTATTACCATCACCAATGCAACATCAGCATGCAGATAGTTTCTGGATTCTCACCTCACAGGAAAATTATGGTCTGGATTTATCCTTTCCAATAAGCTGTAAAGCTACAAAGTGGGAAGGGAAAAGAAAGATAATCAGCATTTCTCACATACACAGGCTTACGGTACTGACAGCAAGTGCTTTTATAGGAAGTGCACGTGAAATCAAAATGGTGCAAGTTGCCACAACACACTGAAGTTTACTTGTACTGGTTAGATGATAGCACAAATATTCCAATATTAGGAGATTTCATGCCCATTTTGATCAAGTTTTTTTACAAAATATGCTTTCTCAGACTTCATGGAATTTTCTAGACAATGTTAATATTTCCTCAGAAAACTTCTAGCAGTCATATCCAACTGAGCTGTTCAAGACACAAACGAATGCTGTACCAGATTTGCTGTTTAATTAAAACCAGAAATCAACTCAGAAGAAAAAAAGGTCCACTTTTAAAATCATTATTTCTACTCTCTAAGCTTTTTAACAAAGCACTGTGTGCGTTACAGTTCATTTACAGCCCCTTCACAAGAAACGCGCAAGCACATCTCTGAAAAGTTACTAGAGAGGGATCAGGCACGTCACTGCAAGAATGCACACAGCTGAATTTTTGTCTTAATACTGCTTCAGGCACACCGCTGAAGCAAAAGGAACACACGTGCACATACCTATTTCTGGATGTTTAGTTAAACCTTGCTAGGTTTTAACGTTATCTCATAAACCCCCTACACAAACGGAAACTGAAGCAAACAGGTTGAATGAGTCAAGATAACAGAGCTAACCACAGGCTTCGCACGGGGAAGCTTGCCCTCCCAGTGCTGTAGAGAATTCTGTGTACACTCCAGAATATTCTGCTTGGGTGGTTTGCAGCTAGGCCAGCCGATACCACTGGTTCTTTACTGTTAATTGCCACTAGCCTGATGAAGGAGTTGCCTGGCTGCCAGACACGGCACTGCTTTGCAAAAACGCTCAGAAAAAAGGATAATCCAAGCACAGTAGCTTGCTTTCTCTCCCAGAAAGTTCTGACTCTTAGAACGACAGTCAGAAATCAGCTTACCTCTTGATGCCGGTTGCCTTCCCTGATGTACACACTGGCTAAGTTTGTCACAATAAATGCCCACAGTTCTTGATGTGTAGTGAGCTAAAATGAACAAGATACCAACAGCACAGTCAAATACTTCAACATCCATCCCAGAATTTGCTCGCCCCATATAATCACAGATTTGGTGTCTGATATTTTGCTATTAATAAATCCTCACGACCTGAACTGTGACCAGCATAGAAAAAAAAAAATGAACTAGTGCAACTAATATAGATGATCTCCAGATTTCCCTTCCAGCCTCAGCTGTGCAGTGACCCACACAGTTGCAAGAAGCCCATTCCCACACTGAACATCCACAGAAAATAGTTCGTGAAGAAAATCTTACCCTCAGTGCTGTAGTAAATTGTGCTTCTGCATTATCCATGCAATTAACAGAAATGCAGTAGAGGCCCTGTAGAAGACATGATATTTCTAAGGTGACACAGAACATAATTACAGCAAGCCCAGAATACAAAGAAAGGCATGCACAAAACCACAGAAAACTCAGGGTATTAGCAGGAAAAAAGGTAACCAACAAGTCTTAGTTTTGCTTGGCTCTGGAAAAAATAAGCAATTGCTATGCAAGCTCGTTCAAAATAGTACACTCCTGTAAAAAACAAGCCATTTATCTAAAAAAATATCCTCTTAAGTTCTTGAAACACTCCAATAGCAATGCTATATAAATTCTCCCCTTTACACAGCTCTCACATCTCAAACATGCACAGTATAGAGCTCATGTGTTTACCTTCCATACTAACCTCATGCTACGTGTCATTTTAAAAAGGGATTTAAGACTTTGACAGGCTTAAATGAGTCCCCACAACAGGCCTGGCAACTGGTAACGCAGACCCCATTACCCAGCAGGAAACCTTGCCGTCTGCCTCGCCACGTTCTCATTAGTTACTGGTGGCTCTATGAGCCTTGGAAGGGTCCTCCCGAGAGTCAAAAGTTTGCTGCTAATCACAGACACTTACTAACAGAGTGTGCAGCTGGGCAGCGTGATTAGAAAACAGTCTGGGAGACTGCTGGCAGAGCTGACAGACTTGTGAAATCTGTTAGGAAAAAAAAAAAAGAGTATTTTAAGATACTTTTTCTCCATTTCATTTTATGCTCTAAATCCACCTACTTGCATCACACGCGTCATTCAGTACGTTTCAGTGATTGGTTCAAGAATCCCAAATCACGCTCCTAGGTAAAAGCGGAGGCTAGACTTGCCTCAAGCCGAGGTACACACACTGCTCCATACACACGCCTCCCACGCAGACGCAGACTCAAACTGGTTTTGAATTATTTGCTTTGCAGCAGCTCCACCATATGGTGGCACCACCTGCAAACCGAGTCACAGATCTCTTCTGACACGCTCAGAATTTGAGTTGGCACGCAACAGAAAAAAATGGAATCAAAATCTTCCACAGGATATGTGCTTGTAATGAGTTTTATGAGCCAGAACCAATGATTATTCTTTTAGCAGGCTAAATTTCTCCCCGTCCCCCGAGTACACTCATGAGAAGGCTGACAGCAGAGGTTGAGATGATACAGCAGTATGTCCTATAAGTAAGGGATGGCTGAACAAGAATTAAAAATGACTGAGAAGAGAAAAAAAGCAGAGTTCCTTCTTGCATTAGAGAACACCATTCCCTCCTCTTTCCCCCCAAACTACATAAGAGGTGGAAAGAAAAGAAAGGCAGGAACCTTAACAACCGAGAAATACTTGGACAAGACAGGAATGCTAAGAGGAGTTAAAAGCCACCTGCAGTCATGAATCGGAGGAAAAGAGAAAAGACACCAGAATCAGACTGCAAAGTACGATCAGGAAGGTGTCAGTTGTAGCCACTGTAGTCAATTATTAGCAACTGCAAAATGTTCCTAAATAAAATATTTAAGAGGAGGCTAATTCCACGGCTACAACGTTGCGGTACCCTGAGCACCACTCAGGCCTGACTGTATCTGTTAATAGTTTACCGCTGCTGGAATCCCCGTCAAAGCCCAAGTTTCTTCCTCAAAACTGAAATTCCCATATTTTAGAAGTTATCACTGCATACATCCACAACTAGGGAAATGATGAAACCCCATTTTTACCTCCTGCAATGCCGTGGCTTTGTGTCCCGTGACAAGCCGACACATGATAATGTGTTCCAACAAAATAACTTGGAAAGATGACAAGATAGGACTGCAGTCCAACACTGAAGAGGGAAAAGTAACTCAGTAAGTGAAGTTAAGACAATATATATCAGCATCCTAACCACACAGCCTGCCCCGCACCTAGCCAGCTCCCTCAACTGCAGGCGGTCCAGAAAGACTTCAATACAAAAATTTCTTTGTGGAAATCTAGAATGATGTCTTTGGCTTGACCACCTGGTGTCAGAAGAGTCAGCGCACTGCCCAGCTCCTCTTCTGTGTGTCCCGGGAAGGATGGCATGGGTTGAGAAAAAGGAAACACTCAAACCCCACCAAACCCACGATGCCTGAACTGTCACGAGCAGGAGTCTGAGCACCAGTTAAGGAAAAACTCCTTGGGAACACACGCTCATTTTAGAGAATCAAAAGCTTGGATAACCAAATACATGGACAATCAGAAAGACAGCAGGAAAATGGATGTATTTATAGCCCCATTTACTGAGTTAGAATAAAAACCCCAAAAACTTGATTTCTGTATTCAAAGTAACTATTCAGTTTTAAAACAGAGCAAAGTTTTTAGATGCAGCAGAAACAGACTGACAGCAGGCAGTCCCAGGGAGCTAAATAAGCTTGCTGTGGTTTTGTTGGGGTTTTTTAAATTTAAATTAGCAACAAGTAATGGAATCTTGCAGCATCAGCTAAATGATAATCCTTCTTACTTTTTAGCTTCTCTAGCTGCATGAGTGCTTTGTCTGTGTATTTCTGAGCCTTCTCCAGGTACCCTGCTTGCATGGAATGCATCACTGTCACCTGCCAGAAAATACAGGAAAGATTACAAAAAGTTATCTTTGCAAAGAGGAAAGGTCTGAGAGTTCACACAACTTCTCCTTTTTTATTTTGTAAATAAATTTTGACATTGTTTAGGAGCATAACCATATTCAAGAAGTAGGCAACTAGTTTCAGGAATTTGCAGTCAAGATCATCACTCTTGGTAAAAATAAGCCAACATCGCTCTACTTCATACAAGTTAATCTGACTCTATTTGGCTCAGATATTAATGAAGTTACATTCCAGTTTCCAGACTTCTTGCACAGTCTCTTCACTGACATCACCGAAAGCAATAGTCTCACAGATGCCGTGGCAGAATTAAACTGTCAGTGTAATGTAAAGCAGCATATGGTCTGCAGGATCTATCGCTGCTGGCTCCAAGCAATTTTTAACCAATTCCTCATTAATTAGCAATATACATTAAGTAAAAAATGCTTCTCACCAAGTAGACAAGCACACACATGTGTTCCTTGGGCAGCCAGTGAAAGAGATCAGCAGGGTTGCTGGGCAGGATTTCATCATCATGCAGCGTGGAGATGGTCTGGATGCACTGCTGAAGCTGTTTCAGGCACGGCTTCACGCTCTTCACCTGCAAAAGATGATTCACATCACACATAGCCACTGCAGCCCAGATGCTTGAACACATATTTAGTTGGGAAAAGTTGCCGGGCAATAAATAATCTCCACATTCAGGAAATTAGTTCATGCATAAATCACACACTAGCATGACAGAACAGTGACTACTTTAGGCCTGTTCCAGGATTAACAACAATCAGCCCTTCGTATTTGTATATACGACCAACAGACACTCAAGATGTTTTTCAAAATTATACACAAAGCCTGTTATCTCCACCAACATTATACGGAAGGAAGAGCAGCCGCCATGGTTATAAGCATACCACAGTAAACCTTTCCTCGGGGAAGAAGAAATGAATGCAATTTCTTCACTCCTCACTTCATTTGTGATTAAAATCTATAGAAATTAAGTTTCATTAACAAAAAGCATGGCGCAGCAAAAAAAACCCCAACAAATCCCCCAAAATCTCCTCAGTGTAGTAATTAGCTACTTTTGAGGCAGTACTCTTTTCCCCCAGTTCTCACATGGGATCTCCAAGCAGCCCAACTCGCACGTACCTGCCCAGCATCCAGGTAATGCGTGACCTGCAGGACTAAGAAGAATACACGTAACGACTCCTTCTGGATGGGGTTTCCTTGCCAGTTTTCAACTATCTGCCCACAAAGGGTAAGGAGAGGGTGCACCTCCTGCAGCTTTCGTTCCATTAGAAGGAGCTGCAATTTTAAATAAAAATTCATGAGTTTTGTGCTAAACAGATTAAACACTCAGAGAGTCACGGCAGAGCCCCAGGTATGTTGATCTATTATTTCAAACAAAACCAGACTCAAAATCTGATTGCAAGAGCACAAGCTTTTTCACATGACCAGATTTTTCATCCCTAATTACAAGAGCTCCAGTGACAATTTGCAGTTATCCTTCTTCCGCCCAGAAAATTATTTGTCATAATTAATAAAGGAGAAAAAAAAAAGCAAAACTTATTCACGGGAATCCTGCAGACTTAATGCTTATGCCAGGTGTATTTTTATACTGTGCTTGCTCACGTGAACAAAACAGAATATATAAAGCACAGGTAAGAGTGCAAGATACTTTAAAACAAATAACCTGTGTTCAGGCAGGTTACATTCTACCACTCTCTAACAAGAAAATAGTTTATTTTAAAAGTACATCCAACTTACCATCCCCTTGCTTAGCAGAAAAAGTGCTCTGAAACAAAACAAAATGATGTCATGCTCAAAAAAAAGGTTACCCAAGCCACAACCGCATACATAAACCTTGAGGAAAAATTAATCTGCTGTTCTCCCCCTCAAAGACAACAGAAAAAAAAAAAAGAGTATTAAGGAACCTGCCACAGAAAGCACATTAGATGGAACAGTCCAGTCATAGCCCCAAGAATCAAAATCCCAGCCTCTCAGGTTTGTATCTAAGCTTTGGACAGTTCCAGTTACAATAGTCTAAGGCCAAACCAGGCTACTGGGAAAACATGCTGACAAAGACATTAAAAAAAAAAAATTTCAAAAAAGCCTTTCCAGAGTCTTAGTGGACATTATTGGTTTTAACAGAAAAAGGAAGAGCAGTAAAAACTCTCAGATCTAAGAGAACACTCAGAAACCTTGGTTTGCCTGCAAAATCCACATAGCAATCACAGGCCACATCTCTAAATAAAAAAAGCAGAGCAAACCAAAATACTTTCTGTGAGAAGGGAAAGAAGTCCAGGGAACTCACCTGGTATACTCTGATCCTACCACCCGAGCATATTCTGCTCCAACTCCGAGAAGGTCACATGCTGATACTAAGTCTTTTTCAAGTGTATGTAGTTGCTGAAATGAAGAAGGGCCATAAGGGATGAGCATTTTCTTTGTGAACACAATTAGCAATTTTAAAAAACGTAATTACTCCTGTGCTTTACACATGACAAGCGCTAAGCTGGTACTTGTTAAATATATCATCTGATTTTAGACTCATTTTCCAGGAACACCTGGCATTCTCCAAAAAAAGTCTGTAACATTTCAAAGCAAATGTCTCAGCCCAGTTTCATACCACGCAAAGCTGTTATAATTCATTAAGATCATGTACAGATCAGATCCCAACAGCTCCAAAGTAACCATGGACTGTTACATTGGAGTAACTGGAACAACAGAGAAAGCCTGCAAGGTGTTTCAGGGGACGGGGAAAGGATGGTGCAGCCGCCAGAGCACCTCACACTCCCTCCCGCCTGCCAACTTTTGTACGTTCTCCAAACCCAGGTCAAAAGCCACACCGTTGTAGAAGAACAGGCACCAAGGCACCAAGACACACAGGCCTCTGTGGTCAAGCAAAAGCCAGAAAGGAAATACCACACCAGAAGAGAAATCAGCAAAGAATGTCAAGCTTCGAGGAAGGATCCTGTTCAGAGGGAGGCACTGAGAAAAACGCTTAAGCTTCTTGTGAGTACTCAGGCATTAACTCATTGCAAAGTAAACATTTGTCCTTTAATCGATAGGAAAGTAAGGCTCTCCACAATTCACTGTTCCTAAACTACACAAAGGAGCTTGGCAATTCCTTTTAAAGGAAGTCTGCTTGTTTAAGCTCATCGGGACAGGGGAAAAGACAAGTACAGGTGACTATTAAAACAGTCTTCAAAGATAAAATTGCCTCCTAACTAGCTTTCCACTGCAGAGTACTTGTAAAGAGCAATTAACTCCCTCAACTCTCACGTTAAACACCTCGAGGCTCTTTAGGAGCAGAGAAGAGGCATAACCTGGAAAAATAGGGGGAGTTCTTCAGCAATTACCTGCCCTTCCCACTGATCAGTTAACTTTCTGCACATGCTCCCTTGGCCTAAAGCATTGGATCACTCAGGAAAATCAGCACTTTAAGAGCAGTTACACAGCTGAAGACTGTAACAAACATTAAACGCTGCAAATTCCAACATGCACCAGTTTATTGCTAGAAGCAAAGACAGTCTGACCTGTGCAGCTGAAGCCACACTCAGAGCGTATTACAGAACAGGAAGAGTAACATTGCTTGGAGGCCTCTACACCAGCTGCTTTTCCCACCTCAGTTCTGCTGTGTGCTAATTAGGTTGAAAATAATCAAAGGAACACTTCAGGTTGGCAAGCTCCAATTCCAGCAGGATTTAAGAAAATATTTGCATTTACTGCAAGCCATCAGGTACATTTTATTTTGCTCCACCTCTAAAGTTGTGTGTTACTGGAGCCCACAGGATGATCCTTGCTGTTTTCTTGCCTAAAAAGCAGGCCTCGATCCAACCTGTAGTCTACCAACATATCATTACTTTACAGTATGAACTTTTCTTCTTTTGTGTCTCCATTAGCAGCAATCACGGGGGCAGGAAGGTATCCAAGCTCTTTTTAAGATGAATACAGATATTTTCTAGCCATTTTTTCCAATCGCAGCACTACAGTAACATGGGCATCAATATAAATCACTTACTGCAAGTTGAAAAAGCAATCTACAGTGCCAGTACGGAGTCTGCTGTGAAATCTGAATAGCTTTGCGTAACAGAGGTTTTGCTGTATCCACTGAATTCTGAAACAGAAGCACGCACCCTAGTCATCATAAAGAACAGGCTACTGGGAACTTCATCACTAACAATAACAACTTTTAAACTAGCTGTATTCTGTGTTGATCCCCCATTAAAGTCTCATAGGTCAGGAACCTTAAAACATGAAAAGCAACGAACCCAAGTATTTAACACGCAGGCCCACACATCTACACCTGACTCAAAGCCTGTTCAAAAGTATTATCTAACTCCTTTGGCCACTATTCTAACATGCACTTTTTTCCCCCGCATATGAGAGAATAGGCAAACATTTGCTTTAGTGAAAGTAAAGACTAGTCAAGGCTTTTCTGGAGAAAAAGCATAAAAATAGCCTAGGAACACAACAAAAGCCTGAGGAAAACTGTCTACTTCCCTCCATCCATTCAGATTAGCCTGTCTTTGTCTAAATGAGACCTAAAGAAACACTTTGGCCAAGCAAACTTCCTTTGCTGTGGAAGACGTTCATTGCAATTCCAGCAGCAACTTTCACAATAGGAAAGACCCAAAATCTTTCACACTTACGCTTTAGTACTCTGTATTTACACTACAGCTGACCTCTAAAAATCTCATAAATCCTATTATTAATAGCAATATACTACTCCAAGACCAAAGACACTCAAATTGAATGCAGCCCTGCAGCCCCAGGACAAGCAACAATTTCTAAAGTAGTCTCAGTGCACTCACCTCCTGACAATACAGTTCAGACAGAAGGCTGGCTGCCTCAAACTTAACATCTTCAAACTGGGGAATCTAGCAGCATCAGAGTTAAGTAAATATTAAACACTGCCTGAAACACAGCAACACTCCAAAATCCACAAAACCCTTAACAGAACATAGGTGTTAAGAAAGTGCTCCACAGCCATGGAAGTAGAGTAAAAATACCCCAACCCCAGGGCCAGGCTCTCTCTGCAGAGGCGCTTTGATGTCGGAGCCCTCGCTGCAGGAGCGAGGTGGCCGGGCTGCGACGCTCCTCGCCCAGGCGGCCAGGAAAAGGATACTTGCTGGGATATCAACCACTGCAAGAGAAGACAGCGGGTTAGTCCGCAACCACCACAGGCCGGCCCCGCTGACAGGGCCCCCTCATAACCGCCCCCCCCAGAGGCTCACCGCCTTCTCCAGGTGCCCGCGGGCCTGGTCGCCGTTGCGGGTGTGGTGATAGAGGACAGAGCCGAGCTGGAGGTGGGTGCGGGCCTCCATACGGGCCGGGGGCTTGCGGGGCAGCACAGCCTGCAGGCAGTGCACGCAGAGCCGCACCTTGGGCGGGCTCGACGTGCGGAAGTGCTCGGCCAGGCCCAACAACGCCAGGTACCACGACTCCCCCCCGGCCGCGCCG